ACCCCACCCCTGCCTTTCTTTCTTTCTTTCCTTTTTTCTTCCCTCAAGGTGCAGACCTTTGAAGGAAGGTCTAAGGGCCCTTCTTTCGCCTCTGTAACTTTCTCCCTGAGTTCACACAGCCCAGCTGGCTCACTTCTTCCACAGCTCATTTCTTCATAAAAAAACCCAAAAACTTGCCCAGCTGGCATGGCTCAGTGGTTGAGCATCAACCTATGAACCAGGAGGTCATGGTTCAATTTCCAGAGAATACATGCTGGTTTAAGGCGGGATCCCCAGTAGGGGGCATGCAGGAGGCAGCCGATCACTTATTCTCATCATCGATGTTTCTATCTCTCTATCCTTCTCCCGTCCTCTCTCTCTGAAAATCAATAAAGGGAAAAAATTTAAAAAGAAAGAAAGAGGAAGACATAAGATTCAGGAAACGAAAGAGGAAAAACAGGAGAGAAGCAGAGTCACCAGGTAACTAGGAATATTTTAGGATGACAGCTGTGTGCCACACATGGAGGGGCACCAGTCCAGATGGGAGCAGTCTAACTCAAGAGACATACTGAGGTCTGTCATCACCGAGATCTCTGCTGCCGTTTATCCTCTTCTCAAAGATAGAACATAGTGTCCAGGTGAGCCTGGCCAACAACTTGCCTTGACTACATACTGGTGAATTTCTTCTCAAAACACTCACTTGCCTAATGAGCTCAGAACACTCATTTCACTCCACAAACGTGTTCTTTATCCTACAGCTGCGCGTAGGTCACACTCAATTTAGGAAACACCACAGAACTACCGGTACTCACTCCCTCTGACCATATTTCTGCCAAATGTCCAACAAACTGTGTTCGCTTCTGTAGAAGGGAGGGTACTACAGAAACTTAATGAAGTTTGTCTAAACTTGTCAGAAGCCTGGTCCTACTCAATATAATTTCCAGGACTAAGTCTTGACTTTGCTCCTGATTTTCACAGAAGAACCTCTATGAACCTCAGGAAGCTGAAGTAAGTATGGTCCATCAATCCCTGGGGATACCTGAGATCCTTTTAGGAGTCCAAGAGGTACAACTATATACTTAATAATACTAAAGAATTATTTATCTTTTTCACTGTGTTGACATTTGCACTGATGATCCAAAAGCAATGGTGGGCAAAACTACTGGTACCCTAACACAAATCAAGGCAGTACCACCAAATTGTAATAGGCCTCATATTGGTCACCACTATATAATTAAAGTTAAAAATAACACCAGCTTTAAGAATGTCCTTGATAAACATATAAAAATTATTAGTTTTAATAACTCTAACCCTTCGGTACATGTCTTTTATTATGTGTGATGAAATGATAAGAAATGCATAAAGCATATACTTAAGTGCAATGGTTACCTTCAGAAAAGGCACTTGTGTGATTGAGTTGCAAGCTGAGCTAGCCAATTTTTTTCATAAGATACCATTTTCAAAGGAAAGACTGAATGACAAATTATGTTATACATGCTTAGATATTTGACAGACATTGTCTCAAAACAGAATAAAAACAAAACAAAACCTGATAGTATGCATTGTCAGTGATATTAAGTCAAGCTTTCTAGAGAAAATTTAAAATTTGGAAAACATATCCACTAGAGTGAGCTTGATAGCTTCTCAAGATTTAAAGACTTTTCCAATGAGATCAGTAATGGTATTTACAAATGTCAATACTAACAAAATTAATGGATTTTAAACTATAAATAAAATGTGTAAACATTTGTCCATGTAGGAAAGGTCCTAGAGGCCATAGGTTAGTCCCATTGGAACTTGATGGATAAAAATCCCTCATTTTATTTTTAGAATAGAAAACATAATTCTTTTTCAATACATCTACATAACTGTTAGCCAAACCGACTTAACAAAATTCTCACCCATATTATACAGACCCCATCTTCTTAGAAACAAAACTCATTTTACATTCAGAATCTTTACTTTGTCAAATGGCATTGAGTGGACTATAACTCAGTAAAGGAAATTCTTATCATATGTATGTTTTGTAAGCAACGAAGAAAAAAATCAGTATAACATTTGAAGGAGTAGAGGAAACAGAGAATGAGACTGGTTGTTAAATATGTAATTATGAATCATTTCCATTTTTTTCTAAAATCCACATATGAATGTAAATGTTAATTTACAAATTCCAAGATTTAAAGTATTAGAGGAAAAATCTTCTCACTAGCACAGAAGACAACTTTTTTCTCATATTAGTGATCAAAAGTACATTTCAATTTATGTTTCAATTGACTATTGGCCAACTTTAACTTCCATAGCAACTCTCACTATGTTATCCTCTAATAAATTTAAGTTATAATTAATTTAAGTTACATTTAATTAGCTTAAATGATAAATTTAATTACATTAAATTAAAATTTTTTAAAAATATATTTTATTGATTTTTTACAGAGAGGAAGGGAGAGAGATAGAGAGTTAGAAACATCGATGGGAGAGAAACATCGATCAGCCGCCTCCTGCACATCTCCCACTGGGGATGCGCCCGCAACCGAGGTACTTGCCCTTGACCGGAATCGAACCTGGGACCCCTCAGCCCGCAGGCCGACGCTCCATCCACTGAGCCAAACCGGTTTCGGCTTAAATTAAATTTAAGTTATCCTTGAGTTAGGTGATGTAACTCAGAGAGAAAAATAAGTTTCCAGTAAAAACCTTTGGAGTTATTGTATGTTACTCTTATTGGCCATATACTAGTAGACATGTTCTTTAGGATTTGTCACCAGGCAACTACAATCAACTCAATTTACTAAGTTAAATTGTTCATAAATAATCCTCTCAAGAACTAACTTGGGCCCTAGCCGGTTTGGTTTCAGTGGATAGAACGTCGGCCTGCGAACTGAAAGGTCCCAGGTTTGATTTTGGTCAAGGGCACATGACTGGATTTTGGACTCGATCCCCAGTGGGGGACTTGCAGGAGGCAGCCAATCCATGATTCTCTCTCATCATGGATGTTTCTATCCCTCTGTCCCTCTTCCTTCCTCTCTGAAATCAATAAAAATATATTTTAAAAAACACACAAATGTATTATTAAAAAAAAAAGAATTAACTTGGTAATGAAACTAAACTGCCCTCTGGTGTTCAATATAAGGATTTCGCTGATGAACTAGATGTAACTACCCTCTCTTCAGGGGGAAAAAAAAAAGCAAAGATCCTAAAGAAGCCACTTAAGATCATTAAAATCAAAGGAGACCGGCCATGGTGGCTCAGTGGTTGATCATCGAACTATGAACCAAGAGGTCAGGGCACATGCCTGGATTGCAGGCTTGATCCCCAGTAGGGGGCATACAGGAGGCAGCCAATCTATGATTCTCTCTCATCACTGATGTTTCTCTCTCCTCCTTTCCCTTCCTCTCTTAAGTCAATAAAAAAATACTTTAAAAAAAATCAAAGGAGAAATTCTGATTTTGTAAGATTTTCAAGAACAGTCTTCTCACTGAACTGAGGGGCTCAGTTATCTGAAGCATCATCCCATACACCAAAGGTTGTGGATTCGATTCCCCTTCAGGGCACATACCTAGGTTGCAGATTCCATCCCTGATCGGAGGCAATGTATGAGGTGGAACTGATCAATGTTTCTCTCTCTCCTCCCTGCTTCCTCTCTCTCTAAAAGAAGAAAAAAAAAAGTCTTCTCAAAGCCCGGCTATTAATCTGAGCTATTACTTGTACAAGTAGGTCAAAGTGCCTAACTAACCACAGTCATCTATGGTAACTGGACGTGACAAGAATATAAACTTGGTAACATTTTCACGATAGTTCTTCAAGTTACACTGGCATATTTTCCCCATTTGGTAAAATATATTTACCAATGTTACATCTAATAAGGAATTAATTTACAAAATATATAAGGAACTCATGTAGCTTAACAAAGGAAGACAAATGATCCAATTAAAAAATGGGCAAAGAACTTAGACACTTCTCCAAAGTGGACATGTAGATGGTCAAGAGATATGTGAAAAAATGCTTCAAGTCATTAATCGTCAGAGAGATGCAAATTAAATGACAATGAGGTATCACCTCACACCTGTCAGAATGGCTATCATCAACACATCAACAAATGACAAGTGCTGGGGAGGATGTGGACAAAAGGGAACCCTCAGAGAACATACAAATGTCCAAGAGACATATAAAAAAATGCTCAAAGTCACTGATCATCAAGGAAAGATGTGAATTAAAATGACAATGAGGTATCACCTCACACCTTTCAGAATGGCGACCATCAACAAATCAACAAATGACAAGTGCTGGAGAGGATGTGGAGAGAAGGGAACCCTAGTGTGCTGGTGGTGGGAATGCAGACTGTTGCAGCCACTATGGAAAACAGTATGGAGTTTCCTCAAAAATTAAAAATGGAACTGCCATTTGTATAGTGATCCCACTTTTAGGAATATATCCTAAGAAACCCAAAACACCATCAGAAAGAATATATGCACCCCTATGTTCATAGCAGCACAATTTACAATAGCTGAGATTTAGAAACAGCCCTAGTGCCCATCAATAGATGAGTAGATAAAAAAAGATGTGGTATATTTATACCATGGAATACTATGCAGCCGTAAAAAAGAAGGATCTCTTACCCTCTGAGACAGCATGGAGGGACTGGGGAGTATTATGTTAAGTGAAATAAGTCAATCAGAGAATACCAAATGATTGCACAAAAAACAAAAAGTCAAGAATCACATGATCTTACTCATCTGTGGAATCTAATGAACAAAATAAACTAATGAACAAAATAGATCCAGAGACATAGAAGCATGGAACAGACTGACGAATCACATAGGGAAGGCGGGGGTAGGTGGGGAGAAATTAACCGGGGAACTTACAGGCATATGTATGCATAACCCATGGACACAGAAAATAGTGTGGTGAAGACCTGGAGAGAGGCAGCAGGGGCTGGGTAGAGGGGTCATTGGGGAGAAAAAAAGGGGAGACATCTATAATACAACAATAAAGATAAATTTTTTAAAAGTGTAGATGATACTCACCCAATGGATCTTCCATGCCACTATTAACCAGTTTAGGGAGGTAGGGTATAGTTTCTAAAAAGAGAAAATAGTAAATAATATATTTAAAACACAAAATCCATATGCTTTTTAAAAAAATAAACCCAGTTCAGTACCAGTGATTATAATTTAAAACTGGAACATAATAGAAATGTACAACTAACTGAGAACATTGCCAACTGGGATTTATTTTCAAGGGGTTGAAATACAGATTCATAATATAAAAGTATCATAAACTTGAAGGATAATTTTCATTTTAAAATATATCATTTTCAGTTTCCTCAAATAAGTTCCCTTTCCAAACCCCAGCTTGAATTATGAGAGTATAAAAGCCAAAATTTTACGTTATAAAAAACAAAAACAAAAAAACACCTCCGAAACTCACAAACACCTGAGAAAGGATATGAGCATATCTTAGAAGGAAGGAATTGGTTTGCCTAAAGAAAGTAGAAGTTATTTTAGATACAGGAGAATGGTTCAGTAAGTTATAAGTTTAGAATGATCAAATATGAAAATAAAGCAAAAAAAAACTATTTTGAAAGAACTGTGACTAAGTATAGATATCCAACCTCCTTCACCCTTAATTAAGAGAAGGATCAAATCTGCCAATCTTGCTTCCTGTCTCTTTTATGGTTTGGATCCCAAGGGAATTCCCTAATAAACAGTCTGAATTCTAAACTCCAATTCAGAGTGTATTTTCAGAGAACAAGTACCTACTAACAGTTGGTGCCACATGCGATCTGAAAAAACTGGAAATATGATGTGGATTTGGAGTTGAATTGCTCACAGACTAGATGGCAATGAGGACTCCATCACTGGTGGTGGGTGTAACACAGATAATCCATGGCACAAGGTGCTGGTCTAATTCTTACACTTTCACCAGTGATGATAGTGTTGTCTGTCTGTGGAATGGAATACTCTAGTTGACTAGATGTTCAGGCCTGTGAAAAGTAAGGGGAAACAATGACTATGACTATGACAATGAAATTGAATAGCTATTATTAAATTCAATTGATGCTCTAGAAAAAGATAACAAAAAGCTAGGAGTGATTAACAGTCAAGTGAAAGTCAAATACGAAAGCCACAGGACCTCCTAGGTAAACATACAAAGAGGCTTTTTTTCTGTGACAGCAGGAGGACAGAAAAAATTGAAGACCAGGCTCATGAGAATAGCCCAGCTCCAAAGAAAGTTAACTCTCAACCAGGGAAGTATGCTATGCCAACATCAGGACCCTGATTAGGAAAAAGGGACTCTAATCCACAAGATGGAGACAACAGAGTTGAAACCCCTCCAAAATCTCAAATACCCAAATACTCCTTAACTCCTTCTGACTACAAAAGTGGCCCTGTAAGAGCTAGCGCTCTCTCCTCACATGACGATAATGCAGAGGACTCCCCGACCTGTTCAATAAAACAGTGCCCCTCAGGATCTGCCACCTACATGCCCCCTGGCTCATCGGCCTTTAATTTATAGTAGGACAGTACTGTGTCTGATAAGGTCAGAACTATAACCTCAGAGAGTTACAAGACTTAGCCAGCATGTACCAGGGGAGTACAAATGTGACCGAATTCTGAGTGTTTGAACATGAGGATCAGAACATCTATATCCTATCTAATAAAAGAGAAACATGGTAATTAGCGTACAACCACTACCCTTCCCATTGGCTAATCAGGGCTATATGCAAATTAACTGCCAGCCAAGATGACGGCCAGCAGCCAGGCAGCTTAAACTGAACATGAGACTTGCTTGCTTCAGTGATGGAGGACCGCAACGTTCCCCGCCTGCTGCTTGCCGACCTCTGAGCTTGCAGTTTGAAACATTGTAACAAATATAGAAGCTAAACAAAACCCCAGAAACCAGCTTTCAGCCGGCTGGGATCTCAGAGAGGGAGTTGATACAGTGTTTCGATTATAGAACCTAAACAAACCAGATACCTACTTTCAGCAGCTGAGGCCTCAGAGCTGGAGCCAAGCCTCAGAGCCAACGCTGGC